GAGAGAGGAAGGAAGAGAAGGACAGAAACATTAATGTTGAGAGAGAACCATCCATGAACTGCCTCCTGCCCGCCCCCTACTGGGGATCGAGACCACAACCCAGGCATGTACCCTGATCAGGAATCGAACTGTGACCTCCTGGTTGATGGGTTGTCACTCAAACACCGAGCCACACTCGGCCGGCCATTTTTTCTTAATGGTTTTTCAATCAAAATATGGGTTGGGTAGGGTTGCCACAGAAAATACAGGGTACCCAGTGAAATCCAATTTCACATAAACAGTGAATAAGATGTAAAATTAGGGACATAGTTATATGGAGACTTATTTGTTGTTCCTGTGTTTTTATTTGCTAAACCTGGCAACCTTAGGTTTAGTGTTCTTTCTTATCCATCCAATGTAAACACTGCAGGGCCAGGCACGGGGGAGACATCCTGGCAGTGGTGGGTGGTCACCAGGGAGGCGAATGACCCTGTTGACCCTGGCAACAGCACCCCTACTAAATAGTGAGCAGGTGGTGTCCTGCTCGCCATGTGGCAGTGTCTCCTGGGTTATTACACAGGATCCCGATGGGATGACATGTGAGAGGATTAATTATAACTGATCACAGACCGGGAAGTTTGGGAACCCGGAAGTCATCTTTCACGTTGCCAGAGCTAAATTTTAAGAGCAATGTCATTCAAGAGACATTATGATGGAAGGACAGTCAGAAGATACCAGGAACGGGGAGATAAACGATCATCCGAGTCCATTTCAAAGTCACAGAACCCAGGGCTGAACAATTGCCTTTTAAAGCTCCTCAGTAAGTGGACAGGGGTGAACAGTGGGCTGGCTGACCACTTTCCCAGGGAAACTGAAGTTGTTTCTATCTCCAGGCCTGCAGCTCCCACCTGCTAATTCAGACCCCAATGGCCAGACAGAGAGGCCAGAATGTCTATGAAAAGAAAAGTGTGAACTGCCCCCGTGCAGGCGTGAGAGAGCCGACCCCGAGGGTCTTCAGCGGCCACGGCAGCCGCGCGCCACGCCCCCGGGCGGCGCCTGCGCATCGGGGCAGCGGAAGGCGGAGAGGCGCTCCGTTCACAGCTGGCCTGGCCCCAGGGCTGCGCGGACAGAGCCCGCCCGCCTGGGGCGTGGTGCCCGCCGAGAGTGGTGTCTGCGAACCTGGGTCCACCTCCCCAGCGCCCGCTCCCTGTTACATAAAAGCCAGACGATCCCAGCAGCTCTCCTCTAGCCCCTCTTGCGTGCACCTTCCCTGTGTGTGGCAGGGGGGAGGGTGGAGAGATAGAGGAGGCGGACTGCACGCGGCATATGTCACTCCGGACTCCTCTTTGGGGACCGCTCATGGGGGAGGGCGAGGGGCCCAACCCCGCAGAAATGGGGCCGTCATGGGAGATCCGGAGCTCATTTAGGAGCGCGGTGCCTGCCAGGCTTCGGCATTCAAACGTCCAGCAGACGGCCTTCGCCAGGAAGCTCGGATAGAGACAACAGGAGGCGTGCCGGCGCCGTGGGAGCTGGAGAAGGGCAGGTTAGGGCGCCCACATGTTAAACACCCAGTAAAGTGGCAGCAGTGGGGCTGGGGAACAGCCAGAAGCCTAAGAGAGTCACGGGAGACCCACCACAGAAACAGGAGAGTCACGGCCTCTCACTCCCCTCGGGCCCTGTCAGCTGCTGGCGATGAGGGTGGAAGGTTGCGGGGCGGAGTCCCAGGGCCTCCCGCCAGCGGAGATGCAGCTGGGCCGCTCCTCCGAGGAGAGAGGCCTGGCCCTCCTGGGCCCCGCGGCCCCGGTGACCTTTCAGAGAACACGCTCAGCCAGCGGGGCTGCGGGAGAGTTACCGCCGGGGGAGGCCGCCGCCGCTGGGCCCGGGATGGAAGCACCGAGGCTGCGGGAGGGCAGCCTGAGCCCACTCAGGGGGCTGCTTCACAGAACCGGCTCCGAGGCCTGACCACGGCCTCACGGCGGGCAGAGCGGCACCACCTCCCCGCTCAGCGGGCGAGCAAAGGACGCAGAGCCCGCAGTGCTGGCTGCAGAGGGAGCTGGACAGGCACACGGGGAGCGTGTCCTCCGTGGAGGCGGGGAGTCCAGCAGCTCCTTACTAGACTGAGCTCACCAGGGGCAGGGGGCGTGCGAGGGGAGCGCCGGGGCCCAGGCTGGTTAAGCTGTAACTTGAAGGACAGGCAGGAGAGGCAGGGGTGTGAGAGGGGAGGAGGGCAGGGGTGTGAGGGGAGGAGCAGGCAGGGAGGGGGGCTCCCGGGAGGGTGGGCCCCCACCACAGGAGTTCAGGGTCACCTGCGGGGGGGTGGGGGTGGGCTTCCCCGCCAGCAGAGAAGGAGGAAGGACTCTCCAGGCCAGAACTCCAGCACCTCAAATCCGCGAGGACACCGCTTCCCTGTCTGGACGTGAGAGAGGGGTCCACCCGGGAGGGGCGTCTGGAATATCAGGATGCGCAGAGATGTACACTGTGTTTTTTTAAGCTTTTGGTCATGGTTTTACATACACAGGGTGTCCCAAACCATGTACTAACAGCTGATAGCTCAACAGATGTTTCTTTTCAGATTTAACCCTTTGGAATAAATAATTATTCAAAGTGTGTATACATTTTTGGGGGACACACTGTATATATCATATAAAATGGACCATTTTAATTATTTTCAAGTGGCATTAAGAACATTCACACTGTTGTGCTGTCATTCACATTATCTTCCTTTTTCTAAAGAGCTCACACCCTCCTAAGGCCATGCTGAGTTGCTGAGTCGCTGAGTCCCAGCTGTGGGCTCTGATCACAGGTTAAACCTCCCCCCTCCCCCAGGCCCTCCTGCTGCTCCTTATACCCGGCATCAGGTCCCCATCTTTCCTGGGCTTCCCCAAACCTGCTAAACCAACCAAATGGCAACCAGTGATTCCTGGGCTTCCCCAAACCCGCTAACCCACCCAAAGGGCAATCAGTGGCTTCACACGACTAATTCACTCATAAAGGCTGTAACGGTTTCTTCCAGGCTGTCCTGTTCTATTTGTAAAACACAAGTTCGGGAGCTTTTAAATTGTGGGTTATTTACCTGATAGAACGCAATGGCTTCCCAGGAGCTATTCCGGTGTAGTGTGGAGATGAGTGCAGGGGGTTTAAACGCTGATTTCAGACCTGATAGGCTGTATTTGCCCAGTCGGTGATGCGGCCTGTTCAGCTAACAGCGGCCAAGGGCAGGAACACTCACGCCTCTCAGGGGCGGGGAGCTGCCAGGCAAGGGGGCATCCTGGTGAGCATGGCGGGCCTGTCGGCCTCAGGGGACCTGTGGCCCCTCAGTGCTTTCTCTTTGATCACAGCCCCAAAGAGATCTTGACCCGAGATCCACACGTGATCTGAGAGATCGCGTTGGCGTTTGAAACGTGATTATTTGCTTTGAAATAATAAATGAAAACGGATCTTTGGCGATTGGCTGGATCAGTTGCAGGGAGTGTGAGCCTCCCGAGGCCCCGAGGCCCCCAAGTGGCTCAGGGAGAACAGGCTGGAGGAGAACCTGCCACAAAGTAGGGGCAGAATGACAGCAGTGGGGGGTAGTTCTTCGGATACGATGGTATCATTTTCCTATAATGTTGGCGTAAAAACATGCCCCATACAGTCCTAGCTGGTTTGGGTCAGTGGATAGAGCATCAGACTGCAGACCGAACGGTTCTGGGTTCAATTCCGGTCAAGGACACCTTCCTTGGTTTCAGGCTACTCCCTGGACCGGGCCCTGGTTGGGGCTTGTGCAGGAGGCAACCAATCGATGTGTTTCTCTCGCATCAATGGTTTCTCTCTAAAAATCTATGGAAAAATATTCTCGGGTGAGGATTAAAAAAAAAGCTTAAAGATACAAACAAAAAAACATGCCTCATACAATTGGTTACTCATGGTTCCACATCGGAAATCCACACTAGTATTTTTCTTTTGGTTTTTCGCCTCTTGGTGAAACTGGAAGAGAGTAGCATGGCATTGTGGGAGAGACTTAGCCTAATGGGCCCACAGGGCCCTTCTACTGCCGCCGGGTTGAACCGTGCAGAGGACACTGACAAGGGGACACTCTTCTCCTCCCACGTATGCAGCCGAGGACGTTCAGGCTCAGACGCTGACTCTTCGGCCCAAAGCAGATTCCAGCTCCGTGTCAGGATCAGACCCTCTTGCTTGCTCCTTGGCGTCCAGGCCGCCGTTGGCATTTCCCTCCTTCCCAGGAAGGCAGAGCAGAGCGACATGCTTGGTCGTTCTGGTTGGAAGGGCGTTGGGTAAGTCATCACCGAGCAGCTGCTTTGTAGGCAGGGCGCCCTAGCGTTCAAGGTGTGGCTCCTGTTCTCTCCTCCTTGTTGAGAACAGACACAAACGCATGAGGAAGCAGAGGGCAGATGCATGCCCGTGTCAGCGAGTGCGCGCAGTGCCCACGGCATAGGAGCTGTGGCAGTGGGGTACGCTGGTTATTCACGGTTTCTGTGGAAGATGAGGCTGGACCCAGGCTTGAGGAAGCGCTGTGGAGCGATGGGCACCCCCGCCCCAGTGCCTTGCCTGGCGGCTGCTGAGAGCCTGCAGGGCCCACCCCCCGGGCGGGGGCTGCTGCTCTGTGCTCAGGCCTCAGTTTGGCCTTGCTTGGGCCATTCTTTCTGCAGAGAAGGCTGCCCCCCACTTCTCCATGCTGGGGGGCCTGTCCTGATGCCACTCGTCCTTCACATGCCATCTCAAAGGCCCCTCCCCTTCCTCTGTGCTCTGAGTACGTCAGTGCCACACCTGTACCCGCTGGTGACACTCTTTCCCTACTAATGTACGGGTGTGTGTGGCTGGTGTTACTGCAGCAGCTAAGAGAACTGACTAGTATCAGACAGACCAGTCTGCAGGCTTTGGCTAAGTTATGTGTCCCTGGAAACCAGACGCAGTGGGATTTTAGGGAGAGTATTTGGTAAATGAAATGAAATGAAATGAAACTTCATTGGAAATGTCATTCCTCAGGTCCTCTTGCTGAATCTCTCCTCAGAGGGTGGTGTGAGGATTAACCCTACCAGACCGCTGTAGTGATTTTTCGGTAATTTTGGAATCTAACGCTATACCGCTGTACCTAATTTTTGTTACTTTGCCTAGACCTATTTTCTACAATGTCTCCAAGTTCCATCTTATTCTAACCACTTGTTTGCATGTAACTAACATTTTTCTATATCATGTTGAATTTTTCTCTTCAATGCTCAGGAGCCCAGGTATAGGGGACAGTTAGGTTCAGGGCCTCAGGTCTGGTGTGTGAAGTGCTCAGCGTAGCGCCCACACACGGCTGCTGTCGTACACTTAGGCTGTGTGCACATGTCCACGTTTAATACACAGTGGTTATGCGGACGTCTATATGTCCTTGGCCACCGTCAGTTCCTGCAGCGTGGGACCATCTTAAGGAGTGTGTGTCTTCCATGGAGACCAGCATAACGCCTTGCCAAGTGGAGGAACTCAGAACTGAATCTGCCTCAAATGAACGCAGGACAGAAAGAATCTCTCTATATAACAGCCTAAGCGACCATCTGACCATTCGCCTGGTAGCTATGATGTGCAGTGACCACTAGGGGGCAGATGCTCCGACCAGTAGAGGAGGGAGCCCGATTCCTCATGGAATCGGCTATGGGTTAGGTTGCTGCTGGGGCACTGTCAGCACTAAATCTGCTTCACTCACATCCCTGATCCAGATGGGAGAAGGCCCAATTCCGGGTGCGTCACCCGATAATCACCCTCCTGCAGTCTGGGACCCCTCAGGGGATGTCAGAGAGCTGGCGTTGGCCTGATCCCTGCAGGCCAAGCTTAGGGACCCCACCGGTGCACAAATCCATGCACCGGGACTCTAGATACAAATAATTGGTGGGAATAAGACGGGGGCAGTTTGCCCTGCTGGTGCAGCTCAGTGGCTGAGTGTCGAACTATGAACCAGGAGGTCGCTGTTTGATTCCCAGTCAGGGCATTGCCCTGGTTGGGGGCTAGAGACCCAGTGAAGGATGCGCAGAAATCAACAAATCAATGATTCTCTCTCATCACCGATGTTTCTACCTCTTGCTCCTTCTCCCTTCCTCTCTGAAATAAACATATTTAAAGAAAGATGGGGTGCATTTTAAAACCTCGGATGGGGTGAAGCGTGAAGAGAGGAGGGACTGGAGATCATGGCCTTCACTCTGGGTGCAGAGAGCTCTCAATGGCATCACGTGTTCTCTTCGGTCATTATTTCTAATTTAATCCACTCTAATTGCACAGAGTGTTTCAATCCGTTGAAAATTTAAAAAAAACTTTCTCTCCTACTTTTGGACTAATTTTTTAAATTGAATATATTGGGGTGACACTGGTTAACAAAATTACACAGGCTTCAGGTGCACAACTCTATGACACATTATCTGTATACTCTATGGTGTGTCCATCACCATTTATGCCCCATTCCTTCTGTACCTCCCCAACCCTCCTCCTCCTGGCAATCACCACATTGTCGTCCACGTCCATGAGTTTTCCCCCCTCTTTTTTCTTTCTTTTTTCCCTCAATCCCTCTTCCAGCCACCCATCCCTCCCAACAGTGTCAGCCTACTTTCTACCTATGGATCTCTCTTTACTTTGCATGTTAGTTCATTTTGTTGATTAGAGTCCACACATGAGGGATATCCTATGGTACTGGCCTTTCTCTGACTGGCTTATTGCACTCAGCATAATGCTCTCCAGGGCCATCCAGGCTGTTGCAAAAGGTAAGATTTCCTTCTTTTTTTACAGCTGAGAAATATTCCATTGTGTAAATGTACCACAGCTTTTTTTATCCACTCATCTACTGATGGGCACTCGGGTTGCTTCCAAATCTTGGCTATTGTGATGAATGCTGCAATGAACATAGGGGTGTGCACATTTTTCAGTTAGTGTTTTGGGTTTTTTGGATAAACTCCTAGAAGCGGGGTTGCTGGGCCCTAAGGCAGTTCCATTTTTAATATTTTGAGGTAACTCCGTATGACTCTCCCCAGTGGCCGCACTAAATGCATTCCCATCAGCAGTGTGCGAGGTTCCCTTCCCTCCACATCCTCACAGAACTGGTTGTCTGTGGATTTATTGATGACAGCCATTCTGACAGGGAACAGCGTACCAATTCTATGGCTTCTGTAGGCAGGGCCCTGCCTGGACCCTCAGGGATGAGCCGGGGTCTCTGCCTCCTGAGGTGGTCTGCTGCCTCCAGAACAGCCAGTTCCAGGAAAGTGTTTCCTATTTAAGTCCAAAGTCGCCATTGTTTAACCACAAAACCGTCATTCATCTGTTCATTGTTCTCCTTCATTCATCAAATAACTTATTGTGTTTTTCCTAATTGCCAGGAACTGTTGGAGGTGCTAAGAATTAAAACATCACTTTAGTTATGAATGGAACATTACGATTATTATAATTATTAGTAGAAACGAAGACAGTGTTAGTGCACACCAAGTAAAGTCTTTGTCAGAACCTGTGTGGCCTGAGTTGCCTGCCCCCCCTCCCCCCCCAGCCTGCTTTGTTGCTGAGTGAAGACAGCCAGGAGCCTGGGGGCCTGTCCCAGCTCTGCCGCTCGCTCCGGTGGCCTGGGCTGATCCCGCCACCTCCTGAGGCTCAGGAGGCTCAGTCTCCTTGTGGTCGCCGGCGGCTGTCACTGACAGCTGTGAGCGTGGCAGGAGGCGTTATTCACACAGCTCCCAGAACGTCATGGCGGAGCCCCTGGCCCTGGAGACCAGAGACGCTGTGGGCTCAGGGTTGACACACTTCTCCAGTGAGCCTCCTGGGCATCTTCCAGGTTCCAAACGTGGAACTTTCTGGAAAGTCCTCCCTGCCTTGCTTCGGGGACACGTCCAGTTCTGCTTTTAGATGCAGACAGAATCACAGGGAGGTGAAACCTCTTCACTTTATGCCATTCCTCAGGCAGCTATTTTCATCCTCTTCTCCCTAACGGGAAGAGGACTCTCGATGGCGAGATTGACTTGAGGAAGCTGAGCCGAGAGTGGCAAACGCCGGAGCCGGTGGCCCTGTGGACGATGAAGCCCCTCGGGGTGCGGGGCCGCTCCCGGCTGCCCTGCAGCCTGCCCCGCACGGCGCCCGCCCGCTGGGCCCGGGATGCGCTCCATACATACTCGTGGCACAAATGAATAAATCAATGGTGGTTGTTTGGATTTCAATATAAATGGATCCTGGAGCTGAAATATTGCCAGATGGGCTGGCAGGGCACACTCTGGTGATGCGTCTCCCAGGCTATAAACACGCAGGCCTGTCTGCGCGGCAGGCTGACATTTCAGAGATGATTACATGCGCGATTTCACCCTCCGACTGCCAGCGCTTCAACAACTGTTTCCACGTGGGCTTTCTTGTTCGTCCTTTTTATTTTTTATTTATTTATTTTTAGCCGAGCACATTTTCCCCAGCTCCTCCTATTTGTAGCTGAACATGATTTATTCAGATGAAATTAGGCTCCGTTTTTATAAAGCTTGAGTTCCTGCAAATGATGCTTGAGGTTTCTCAGCGAATGTGAATTCCCGATCAGCCACAAAGCACCGCTGCGGGCTCCAGGCCGCCTCCGGAGCGCGAGGCGCCGGGGATGGACACCGAGTCCCCGCTGCCTCCTGCTCCTCCCAGGCTTCACCATGGACCTCCGCCTCCTGAAGGCCCGCAGCTGCTCGGCCTCATAAATCACAGGCCCTTTTTTTCCACCACAGTTATCTACTATTTACTGCTCAGAGGGGAAGTGAATCACAGCGAGGGGACTTTGTATGCTGCGTACATCCTTCCTTCTCCGCCGGCACTCTGCACATCCCCCACATTCCCGGGTGCCCGCTTTCCCAGTGCGCCCACACGGGCTCACCCGGACAAGTCAGCCTCAGGCGCACTTACCCTGGTTCTCCCTGCCCCTCTCCACCACCGACACACAATCCGTAAGGACAAGAGACCCCGAGAGGCACACACGGTGAGGAGTAGGTGGGAAGCCCTGTGTCTTTTTGCAAGTGGAGGCTTTCTTGTGATTGGCTTGTCTACCAGACAGAGAATTTCGCCCCCTCGTCTGTCCTGCCCTGGTCTCCTGATGTTTTCCATTATTTGGGCAGCACCAGCCTTCGGTTTGCCAGCGGACACCCAGTGGCGTGTGACAGATGAAACACTCTACAGATGATGCTGGAAAGAATGAGAAACAGGCCACCCCACCTACACTGGCCCCTCCCGTCGTGCCGGTGGCAGGCGCAGGTTGGGGGACGTCAGATTTGCTCTGTGACTGTGACCCCGTGATCACCTGTGGACACACTGGCTGTTCAGGCTGAACCGTACATTAAGCTCATCCGTGAGGCCAAGCAAAGCAACGCCAAAGGTTGTCTGTGGGGCTGACCACAGACGCTGTTTAAATGTAGGTAATGAAATATTTCATCGTTCTACTGTACCAGGGCTGTGCTTTGATTACCACGGACTCACAACTGCAAAGCACACAATCTGAGCTACCAGACACCCGCTCTCCCAGAATGCCTGCTTAAAACAGGACACGGAGAGGTGACCAGGCAGGCGAGGCCGGCCCCGCAAAGACGTTTGGCTAGTCTCTCCCTCTGACACCGCACAGGGAGGGACCTGCTACGTCCTCAGAAGGACAGAAAAAGGCCGCCCTTCGCATTGGCACTGGTCTGCCAGGTCCCGCCTCCGCGCCCTGGAAGCAGGCCTCCTGCCCGAGAGGCAGAGAGCAACAGCAGCTTCCTGCTCTGTAACCCACATCCCCATCCCAGCCAGCCAGACCCTCTTCATCACCAAGCTGCACATCTTGAAGCAAAACAGCGCTCAGCCCCTCCCAAACCTCCTGTGCCCCGGGCACTGCGGGCGGCTGTGCGGCCACAGGGCAGCGGGATGGCCCGGGGGGCACTGGCAGGACAGACACCGAGAGGGGAGCCGTGCGCCAGGGCCTGGGCCAGCCTGTGCCGCCCTGTTCCACGCGACGTGAGGAACTCGGGCACCCCTTAAGGCCTAAACAGGGTTCTGTTCTTCTGGGGTAAAAATGAAAGTGCTGCCTCATATGGTGTTTTATATCAAGAGATGGTTAATGTGCTGAAAAACAATAGTTTAGAAACCAGAATAGTCGGTGTACATGAATGTGTACCAGGTGAGTGCCAGGCGACAGGAGGCAGCAGTCCTGGGTTTGATCACCACCTCGGGAAGGTCAGAACCCGGGGCAGATATTAACGCAGTTCATCCCCACCCTGGTCAACCATTTCCCAGAAATTACTGGTTTCCTCCCAGGTCAGGTAAGTGGTAGAAAATGACTTCTGTTGCTGGGTCTCTAAGACCCTAGAAAATGTGAGTCTAAGAATTCAGTCAGTGTTCTATGTCCTCATTGGAAAGGAGGGTTTCCGATGGCATCTCCAAATGGTCACAGATGGTTCTCACTTATGGAAATCACTCCTGTGGACACAGGACAGGAGCAGCACAGAGCAGGGAGCTGCAGACAACCCCCGGCTAGGCACATTACTTTGAAATGAGCCCAGTTCTCCCAAATTTGAGCAGAAAAACTGTTATACTTCAGGGGAAATGCTCTACTCCACGGGGGACAGAGACTTTGGGGAAGAGTAGTGACAACGGGAGCCTCTGTCTCTAGGGAGTGGACGGTTTCTCCTGCACTTGGTCATGCAACCAACAGGGGCCCAGGAGCTAGCTCACTGGCTGATGAGCTCGGGCCTGGCCAGGAGGGGCTGGAGGGACTTCCAGAACAAAGCCAAAGGGAGCAGCGCTGTTTATCACCCACGGACCTTTGCCAGCCAGGACTGGGCCACGTGTCTTCTGGGAAGGAGTCCTAATTTCTGATTGTATCTTGCAACCAGGTCTTCAAAAGGAGCCCATACCTTCCTAAAATAGCTTGATTCCTTCTACCAGAGGTCATGCTAACATTTTGCATCTATTAACACCAGTTTATTGAAATACTGGAGGCCCAATGCATGAAACTTGTACAAGAGTAGGTCTTCCTTCCCCTGGCTGCCGGCGGCTTCCCTCCGGCACCCGGGACCCAGGCTTCCCGCTGGTCACCGGCAGGCACCCGGGACCGGGCTTCCCTCGCAGCCCCGGCTTCATCCAGAAGGTGATCCGGTCTAATTAGCATATTATGCTTTTATTATCCTATATAATAAAAGCCCAGCGACCGAAACAGCAGAACCACCAGAGGCCAGAAGTATTGGCCGCTTGCCCTGGCAAGCTATGCCCCACAGCGGGAACACCCCCCACCCCCCAGATCTCGGGCCTCATCAGGGCAGGCCAGCCGGCTTCCCATCTCACCCCCCCACCCCTCCCCAGACACGCAGAACCTTAACAAGTGAAGATAACAATGAACCAACAAGAAAAAGGGCCTGATCTGCTCTCAAAAGTAGCTACAGATCCCATTCAACTATTTTGATACAGTAAAGCCAGATGTGAACACAGTTTGAGTGACAGTTGATTGGGTTTGTAGATCTCATTCATAATAAAGTCCGAAAACCAGCCGAAGCGCGGTGGGAGGGGCCAGGCACTCAGGACCGGGAAGTGGGTGACCTGCATAAAGTGTTTCAGGGAGAATCCATCGAAAGCCAGACAGCACCCGGGAAATGATATGGAAAAAGTCTGAGGAAAACACCTCAAAGCAAATGAAGTACTTATTGCTGAAAAATGAGCTCAGGTCGCAAACAATTCCGAAGTTTGGCATTTACTGCGCGCTGAGGCCTTTCCCTCCGGCTCCGTGTCTCTTGTTTCACTAACAACAAGGGACCCTCCACACTTCCTGTGAAATACAACACGGCGACTTTGGCAGTAATAAACCCACACGGGCATGACAAATCCAAGCATGCAAAACGTTTAACACCCCAGCTCCCAGACACGAGAGGGACAAAATCCGATTATGAATTATATGCTACGATAAATAGGGCTCGATGTTTCATAAAGCAATTTATAGTTCATAAAAATGACAAAACGTACCTGTCAGACAGAGCGTGGAGCGCGGCTCCCTGGGCTGCCTGCGGAGGAAAGGGCAGAGATGTTTATTTAATATTCTGACTTCCACATTACGTGGTCAGTCAGCACTTACAAAAACCCGGGTCACACACATTTTTGCCATGTGGCCGAATATCACACTGCAGGCAACACAGTAGGAGCTCTGTGTGTTGCGCAGTGAACACTCCCGAGGAGTTAATTGAAGCCCCTTCAGGGCCCTGCCACCAGGGGGCGAGCGTGGGGGGGGTGCCAGGCTGTGAGGTTGGACAGGTCTCAGGAGACCCCTCCTACCCTCCCGCCACCTCCCCAGCTATTTCATTTGTACTCCCTGTTGCTTTATTCTACTTCAAAGCATCTTCTCGATGAAGGTATACCTTTGACCCAGTTTTCTGATTTATTGAAAAAGTCACCACAATTGTAACCCGGAACACTGACAGAAATATGGAGATATTATGAGATTATGGATTTGTTTATAGGCAATGATTTTGTGGCAATTTTAAAAAAGTCTTCAGAGGTTCCTATGGAGATATTTATGGATAACATTACAGGATCTGGGATTTGCCTTGAAACAATGTACGTGGAGGGAAGGGAGAGGGCTGGACATGCAAACAAAACAACATCCTTGGGTGGTAACTGCTGACACCAGGCAATGAGCACACGGGGATCATTATATTATTTTAGACTTTCTACGTGTTTGGAATATTCTATAAAACACAAAAAGCAAAACGAAACAAAAGGCCTCCATTTCTCCATCAGATTCCCCCCGTTTTGCACTCACTGCCTTCTGTCTGCTTAGCCTCGTCTGCCCACGTGCCCCGTGGGGCTGAGCTCATTCCACGTCTCCGAAGCCACTGCCGGGAGGGGTCGCGGCCGGCCTGTGGGAGCGGCTCACTCGGGGCACGTGGCCGCTTTCACCGCGTCCAGGACACGTGGAAAGTGTCCTGTTTGCCGGGGCGCCGGCATGTTTCCTCATTCCATGCAGATGGCAGACAGACAGGCAGGATCTTCAGATGAGAAAAACACGGCCTGGCAGGAACCTGATCCTGTCACAGAACTGAATCCACCCTTGGCAACACACACACACACACACACACACACACACACACACACACGTCTTGGCTCACTCGGTCCGCCCAGCGCTGGCCGAATGCCCTCCACACGGAGACCCCTGTGGTGGCTGCAGGGGGGATAGAAGCAAAGGCAGGAGGCGCGGTCACTGTGCCAGAGAAGCCCAGCCCCAGGCAGGAAGTCAGAGCAGAGGGCCAGGGAGGACTTGACGACGCTTGGGAATGAACATGCAAATGAGAGATGAGTAGGTGGGGACGTGGGTGCCGGTAACTCATGGCCGGTGGGCCCCGGGCTCCTCAGTCAGGGCCTGAGGTGGCTGGCAGGGGCTCAGTGCACATGATGAGGAAATGTCAAATGAAGGAATCAATTTGGAATCCTTCCCACTAATATGCAAGCGAAGCTGCAAAGACAAGGAGGATGTGTGCAGGGGAAAGAGGCACTGCTCGCTCGGGACGGCAAGGTGGAGCCAGGGCCTCCCCGGCCAGGCCTCAGCAGCGGCTCTCAGCGGGGGCACCTCTTGGCCAAACACCAAGGCCACTGGGCTGAGGAGGGGTGTTTCTGTGTGTCCATAGCAAGGGGGTCACCGCCGCATGAACGCCTGGGGCCAGGGATGCTACAGCCTCTCCAAGGCCCGAAGGGCCCTGGTCCCATGGAGCGGCCCCTCAGAAGGACAGGGGTTTCTGTGGAGAAACACCCAGCAAAAGCCAGAGGAAACCTGGCAGGAGCGACCCCCGGGGTGCGGCTTCTGGGCCCGGCAAAGGAACCGAGACCAAATCACCAACACCGACATCACCCCCCCGACAGAGGAAAACACGCTCTGTGGACTTGGCGCTGACCGTCTTCCACCCTGAGAGAAGTTTACCGTTCGCTTATGTTAGGGCCTCCAAGACTCAGCTTCCAAACTGTTCTTCCTACCCTGAGTGGGATGGCGAGGGAGCTGGCCAGCCAAGCCCAGGCTCCAGTGAACAGTTCATGGGATCACTTCCCCTCCTCTTTCTCTGATTCCCGTGAATTTAGGGCCAAATGCCAGGGCATCCAGTGTCAGGAGGGGAAAGAGTATCCACAGGGCGCTCTCTTGCTGAGGGCACCTTAGGGAGTAGAACGAGGCGGGGAAAGCGGCAAAAAGCCTCAGGAGGCCGTGGAGACCAGGGGCCCCTCCCTGCCCCTCCCTCTCCCTCCCTCTCTGTGCTCTCGGGGGCCAGCCCAGGCACTGGCACAGGAGCGCCCGGCAGGTGCAGGCAGCCACCACGGTCCCCGGGGCCCCATCGCTCAGCAGGATGCTTTCGTTTTTGGCACCTGTACTTGAAAAGAACCTAGCTCCCTACTCCTGCCTCTGCTTGGCTAAATACACCAAATGTACTCCGAGCCCCCCCAAGGAAAGGTGGCATGCATGGTTAGTTCAGGCTCAACGCCCCTCCGCAGAAGGCACGGGACTTTTCCGGGGATAACGGAAACCTTCAGCGATGTGGCTGGAAGGTCAGCAGGCATCTCGGACACGGTGTCTGCGTTTCCCCCGGCCAGGGCTGCCCATGTTTTAGAAGCCCGTTGACTTTTCTCTCTCCTGCCTCCGAATACTTCCCACCGACGTTTTGTGATACGGAAACAGTGCCCGTTGATGAGCAACTTATGAGAAAATTATTTTAACAACAAAAGCAAAAACAAGCACAAAACAAGCAACTCTGCCGCGGTGCCTCCAGGGGCGGACCCTGCGGAGGACTCCGTGGCTCTGATGTGAGCGAGCGGGGCTGGGCGGTCGCCCTCCTCCAGCAGATGGACGTGGCGCTGACCAGAAGACCGTGTGGGCTGCCTCGGCGTCCCCCCAGCCCGACGGTGGCTTTCTGCGCTCCCCACGCTCCCATCTGTCCGCCCGCACGGCCAATGTTTCCACGCACTTACCGCTGGCTCAGAGCACCACCGGCCACCTGCACCACAATGTTTAACGCCTGAATTTGATGAAGCTTTTTAATTTGCAGTTATTTTACAGCATTAAAAACTTTATGGAGATGGCTCATCACCCATCAAGAAAGCAGATGAGAATATGTTAAAGGTTTAAACAATAACTTTAAAAAGGCTTTATGGCACTAAGTTAAAATGGTATGTCATATGCCAATGCAGAGACCACCATTTTTCTTTTCTTTTTTTTTTTTTTTTTTTTTTTTTTACAGCTCTTCTTTTAAATATGCTTTGGCTTTTGGACACTATTTTCTTTTACTGTTGAAAATAATAAAATAAAAACTCATTGGAACTAAATCGCAGAGAAAAAACTGCTAGGTGACTCATAAGTGAAGCCCGAAGAAAGACGCGGCGTAAGCTGGATGGATTGCTCAATTTCCTGCCTGCAAGGGCCGTGTGTTCCAGCGCCCACAGCCCTCCCTCCCAGTCATCACCTCGGCTGTCACTTTCCTCATCCTGTTCTCAGCAACGGAACGAAGAGGGTGAGGGGAACGCTTCGCTGATCCTTCCCGAGTTCCTTACGCATTCACGAGGGCCTCTGAGGCATAAGCTCTGAGACAAGTTTTCTGCCAGAAATAATCACTTTCCAGGTCCTTTTCAAGAGATGGCCCTTTTCTGCCTTTGTCACAGAAAGCTTGGAGCTTGGGACACAAGCAGCAGAAGTTCAGGTTTCCGTGTTTGTGAAGTAAGTTCTAGTCCCGTCTGTGACTGAAGGAAAAACCAGAGAGATGAGGTGCCCTCACTGTCACTGGGCTGAGCGAGGGGAGGGGCTGGATTTCAGAGGGTGCCAGGAGGATGCCATTTCTTTTTTTCTTGATGGAAACAGATCCAACCCGGGCTGCTCCATGGTTCAATCTGAAGCGCCTGCGATGTGCAGGTGACAGGCGTGGCGTGGGCCACAATCAAAACAGAGAACGCGCTCACCATGTTGGACGTGGGGTCTGGAGGTGTCAGACATAAAAGCTGAACGTTCTCGATTGCAGGGGCTGTGGCTGATGAGGAGAGGGTGCCGGGGGACCTCCCTTGGAGTGAGTGGGTGAGGAAGGCCCACTGAGTCAGGGGTAGCTAAGCTGATGCCTGAAGGATAAAGAGGAGTTCCCGGAGCAGAGAAGTGAGGGGCGTGGGGAAGAAAGAGCCCCACGCAGGCCACTGTGAGGGAGCTCAGAGGGCGGCGGGGACACTGGCAGATGCCAAGGGCTTTGGAGGTCAAGTTGAGGATTTGGGGGACTCTCCACCCGAGAAATCACTCACATTAGGGGAAGTTGGGTAAAGGATGTACAGGGCCTGTTTGCATCTTTTTATGATTCAATAAAATTTTTTTGTTAATCCTCACCCAAGGATATTTATTCCATTGATTTTAGTGAGAGTGGAAGGAAGGGAGGGAGAGAGGGAGGGGGGAAGAGAAGAATGCATTGATTGGTTGCCTCCTGTGTGTGCTTGGACCGGGTCTGGGGACCAAACCTGTAACCCGGGTACATACTCTTGACCAGGAATCAAACCCATGACCCTTTGGTGCATGGGTTGACTCTAACCATTGACCAACACCACCCAGGGGCTGATGGATCTATAATAAAAAAAAGTAAGGTAGGGAGTGAGTTTACATTTTTTAAAATTTACTCCCCCCCCCCCCCAATTTCATTCTGGCTTCTGTGTGATGAATGGATTTGGGCAGGAAGGTTCAGTATTAAGTAAGGTTGTTGCATTAATCTAAGCAAGAGAAGGGCATGATAGCAATGACGGTGGAGAGTTTGTGCTACATTTTGGAGGCAGAACTGAGCCCCAGGTTCCAGCTTGAGCCCCTGGTAAAGACGGAGGGCCGCTGACTGGGACAGGCAAGCTGGTTGCAGGGGCAGGGGTAAGGGAGAAGCTTAGTTTGGGGTGTGAAGTTCACGTTGTTTTCAAGATGTTCAGCCCGAGATGCTAAATAGATGCTTGGACACATAGATGGCGGCTGTCAAATGCCAATGGGGTTCCAAACATTGGCACGTTGTTGGCATGTTGGCAAATTACAGTCATAAAAAGGAGACAGATACAGGGCTCATGTGCCGGATCTGCATTTTGCTCTCATTCGAAGAGGAGTAGGTTCGGGTCAGCTGGCCAGAACAGCCTGTCCACTCCACACGCACGCAGCCCATCTTTGCTGTCCCAGCCCCAGGCTCGTTTTCCCAACAGAAGGTGGCACCTCTGCGGCTGCGGTCTGGGTCTCCTTGCTCCGCCTTTGGAAGACTGTATCCACATTCAGCTACTGGAGCAAATGCCGTCCCAGTCAGCGGCCCCCCGTCTATACCAGGGGCTCAAGCTGGAACCTGGGGCTCAGTCCTGCCGCCAACCCTGGCCTGTCACGTCAAATCGATTGTGGTTGGTCATTTGCTGTTCAGCTGTCATGAAGCGCACCATGGAGTTTAGGTCCAATCACGTGTCTCTGCAGGAATTCTGTCCAGAATGGCTAATTACATTTTTTTTCTAGCATTTATTAATGCATTTCACTGTTTAATTTACTTCCACATCTGTTAACACTTTCTGTTTCATTTACTGAACTTCCATGCTGTTGGTTTTTATTGGAATCCTGGTTGGGTCTTTTTGTTTTTAAATGTTTTTATTGATTTCAGAGAGGAAGGGGGAGGGAAAGAGAGAGAGAGAAGCATCAATAAGAGAGAATCACTGACCGGCTGCCTCCTGCACGCCCCCTACTGGGGATGAGCCCACCCGGGCATGTGCCCTGACCACCACCAGCTGGGCACCTCACCGAGTGCTGCCATCTTCCATGTGGTTCTCCTCCCCAGCCAGCAGTACCGGCGAGACGAAGGCGAGTCCCGCTCTCCGGTTTTCCTCTGTAACAGGAAGCACGTTGCGTTCTCAGGTGCCCCCAGATGCCGCCCAGAAAGCGTTCTGTTCAGTAGACTTGGACCTTGTCCTGCTCTCCACAGGGCCAGGTCGAGTAGGGATAACAACATGTATCATCCGAATAAGGACCTTTTTTGAGTGTGAACGGGGATATCCCGCCCTCCAGATGGAGCTGGGACAGCAGGAGAGGCAGTGCTGTTCTCAGCACCCAGGCCATCGGGCTGCTGTCCGTACACGTACATCAGTGCAGAGGCAGGACTCCGGGGCCGAGGAGGCAGGACTCCAGGCCGAGGCGTTGTCAATAAGCAAAGAGCTCCGAATGGGGTCGGCAGGGACAGATCGCTTTGATTCTCGGTGTCTCTGAAGCCAAACCAAAGTGTCTGCCATTTTCCAGCTGCTCCCCCCTCTACTTAGATTCTGCCTGTCAGTGTTCCCCGACCACCCAAGCTTCCAGCACCTTCCTGTCTCTCAACTCCTCGTCTGGAACCTGGATGAGCACAGGCTTCTTCCTTCTTCTGAAAAGTTCGCCACCTGCTTCGCGAGAAATTTAGTCTGGGCTCCTCAGGTTCCGGGAGGTCCTAGCTCATCCTGGCCCAGGAGCGCTTCCCGTGATCACACTCCATGAACCCCCTGCCCGTGATCAACAGGCCGGTGCCAGGAGGTAACTTCTGCCGATGACCAATTCCTATTTGCATGGCTCTGCTCCAAGAGATTTGTTAAAACTCATTTCTTTCCGAGCTATATATTCTCTCTATTTCACTTTCTTTAAAACGCGGGTCCACTTTGGCTTTAGGGAAAGTTTGCCTAGTTTTATGTTTTAACACCGTATTGCTTAGATCAGTTTATTCTACCAGAACTCCAATGAAGACAGCTGCACACTTACGGAGCCGCTGTCACACCCAGGGAGAGTGCTGGTTAGGTGAAGCCTGGATTACACCACCTCACAATCGGCGTCCTGCCACCAACCGCCTGGCGTGGGCCTGGTTTGGAGCCGGCTGTCTGTCGGTGAGAGTCAGCCCCTACCTGGCGGCTCTCTTCTCCTGAGGGGGGGGGAGGGCACTGCCAGGACACCTGGCTCGCGAGGGTGACGCCGTGAGCCACCTGTGACCTCCGCTGCCGGCCCTGCGGGCTGTGCCTCCACAATAAGACCCGGCAGCTGCCAGGAGCTGGGGGAGAGGGGAAGGTGGTGGCAACATGAGCACATGCCGGATTGCTCCTCAGCCGTGGGGACTGTCAGCACATCTTTCTAGGGGTGAGGGCCCCACTGAGGGCAAGGACCCCACTGAGGGCGAGGAGGGCCCCACTGAGGGGAGGACCCCACTGAGGGCGAGGAGGGCCCCACTGAGGGGAGGACCCCACTGAGGGCGAGGAGGGCCCACTGAGGGCGAGGAGGGCCCACTGAGGGCGAGGACCCCACTGAGGGCGAGGAGGGCCCCACTGAGGGCGAGGAGGGCCCACTGAGGGCGAGGAGGGCCCACTGAGGGCGAGGAGGGCCCCACTGAGGGCGAGGAGGGCCCCACTGAGGGCGAGGACCCCACTGAGGGCGAGGACCCCACTGAGGGCGAGGAGGGCCCCACTGAGGGCGAGGAGGGCCCCACTGAGGGCGAGGAGGGCCCCACTGAGGGCGAGGACCCCACTGAGGGCGAGGAGGGCCCCACTGAGGGCGAGGAGGGCCCACTGAGGGCGAGGAGGGCCCACTGAGGGCGAGGACCCCACTGAGGGCGAGGAGGGCCCACTGAGGGCGAGGAGGGCCCACTGAGGGCGAGGAGGGCCCCACTGAGGGCGAGGAGGGCCCCACTGAGGGCGAGGACCCCACTGAGGGCGAGGACCCCACTGAGGGCGAGGAGGGCCCCACTCAGGGCGAGGAGGGCCCCACTGAGGGCGAGGACCCCACTGAGGGCGAGGAGGGCCCACTGAGGGCGAGGAGGGCTCCACTGAGGGCGAGGAGGGCCCCACTGAGGGCGAGGAGGGCCCCACTGAGGGCGAGGACCCCACTGAGGGCGAGGAGGGCCCCACTGAGGGCGAGGAGGACCCCACTGAGGGCGAGGACCCCACTGAGGGCGAGGAGGACCCACTGAGGGCGAGGAGGACCCACTGAGGGCGAGGAGGGCCCACTGAGGGCGAGGACCCCACTGAGGGCGAGGAGGGCCCCACTGAGGGCGAGGAGGGCCCACTGAGGGTGAGGAGGGCCCCACTGAGGGCGAGGACCCCACTGAGGGCGAGGAGGGCCCACTGAGGGCGAGGACCCCACTGAGGGCGAGGAGGGCCCACTGAGGGCGAGGAGGGCCCACTGAGGGCGAGGAGGGCCCCACTGAGGGCGAGGAGGGCCCACTGAGGGCGAGGAGGGCCCACTGAGGGCGAGGAGGGCCCACTGAGGGCGAGGAGGACCCATTGAGGGCGAGGAGGGCCCCACTGAGGGCGAGGAGGGCCCACTGAGGGCGAGGAGGGCCCCACTGAGGGTGAGGAGGACCCCACTGAGGGCGAGGAGGGCCCCACTGAGGGCGAGGAGGGCCCCACTGAGGGCGAGGACCCCACTGAGGGCGAGGAGGGCCCCACTGAGGGCGAGGAGGGCCCACTGAGGGCAAGGGCCCACTGAGGGCGAGGAGGGCCCCACTGAGGGCGAGGAGGGCCCCACTGAGGGCGAGGAGGACCCCACTGAGGGCGAGGGAGGGTGAGGAGGACCCCACTGAGGGCGAGGAGGACCCCACTGAGGGCGAGGAGGGCCCACTGAGGGCGAGGGCCCACTGAGGGCGAGGAGGGCCCCACCGAGGGCGAGGAATCCCCACTGAGGGCGAGGAGGGCCCACTGAGGGCGAGGACCCCACTGAGGGCGAGGACCCCACTGAGGGCGAGGAGGGCCCCACTGAGGGCGAGGAGGGCCCACTGAGGGCGAGGAGGGCCCCACTGAGGGCGAGGGAGGGCGAGGAGGACCCCACTGAGGGCGAGGAGGACCCCACTGAGGGCGAGGAGGGCCCACTGAGGGCGAGGAGGGCCCCCTGAGGGCAAGGGCCCACTGAGGGCGAGGAGGGCCCCACTGAGGGCGAGGAGGGCCCACTGAGGGCGAGGAGGGCCCACTGAGGGCGAGGACCCCACTGAGGGCGAGGAGGGCCCACTGAGGGCGAGGAGGGCCCACTGAGGGCGAGGAGGGCCCCACTGAGGGCGAGGAGGGCCCCACTGAGGGCGAGGACCCCACTGAGGGCGAGGACCCCACTGAGGGCGAGGAGGGCCCCACTGAGGGCGAGGAGGGCCCCACTGAGGGCGAGGACCCCACTGAGGGCGAGGAGGGCCCACTGAGGGCGAGGAGGGCCCCACTGAGGGCGAGGAGGGCCCCACTGAGGGCGAGGAGGGCCCCACTGAGGGCGAGGACCCCACTGAGGGCGAGGAGGGCCCCACTGAGGGCGAGGAGGGCCCCACTGAGGGCGAGGACCCCACTGAGGGCGAGGAGGACCCACTGAGGGCGAGGAGGGCCCACTGAGGGCGAGGACCCCACTGAGGGCGAGGAGGGCCCCACTGAGGGCGAGGAGGGCCCACTGAGGGCGAGGAGGGCCCCACTGAGGGCGAGGACCCCACTGAGGGCGAGGAGGGCCCACTGAGGGCGAGGACCCCACTGAGGGCGAGGAGGGCCCACTGAGGGCGAGGAGGGCCCACTGAGGGCGAGGAGGGCCCCACTGAGGGCGAGGAGGGCCCACTGAGGGCGAGGAGGGCCCACTGAGGGCGAGGAGGGCTCCACTGAGGGCGAGGAGGGCCCCACTGAGGGCGAGGAGGGCCCCACTGAGGGCGAGGAGGGCCCCACTGAGGGCGAGGAGGGCTCCACTGAGGGCGAGGAGGACCCCACTGAGGGCGAGGAGGGCCCCACTGAGGGCGAGGAGGGCCCCACTGAGGGCGAGGACCCCACTGAGGGCGAGGAGGGCCCCACTGAGGGCGAGGAGGGCCCACTGAGGGCAAGGGCCCACTGAGGGCGAGGAGGGCCCCACTGAGGGCGAGGAGGGCCCCACTGAGGGCGAGGAGGACCCCACTGAGGGCGAGGGAGGGTGAGGAGGACCCCACTGAGGGCGAGGAGGACCCCACTGAGGGCGAGGAGGGCCCACTGAGGGCAAGGGCCCACTGAGGGCGAGGAGGGCCCCACTGAGGGCGAGGAATCCCCACTGAGGGCGAGGAGGGCCCACTGAGGGCGAGGACCCCACTGAGGGCGAGGACCCCACTGAGGGCGAGGAGGGCCCCACTGAGGGCGAGGAGGGCCCACTGAGGGCGAGGAGGGCCCCACTGAGGGCGAGGGAGGGTGAGGAGGACCCCACTGAGGGCGAGGAGGACCCCACTGAGGGCGAGGAGGGCCCACTGAGGGCGAGGAGGGCCCACTGAGGGCAAGGGCCCACTGAGGGCGAGGAGGGCCCCACTGAGGGCGAGGAGGGCCCCACTGAGGGCGAGGAGGGCCCCACTGAGGGCGAGGAGGACCCACTGAGGGCGAGGAGGGCCCCACTGAGGGCAAGGGCCCACTGAGGGCGAGGAGGACCCCACTGAGGGCGAGGAGGGCCCCACTGAGGGCGAGGAGGGCCCACTGAGGGCGAGGAG